ATTGCTAGGCCACAGGTCATGCCTTGTATTCAGCTGTAAAGCTAATACTTTTTAATAATCTAAATTATTGTAAACCTAACAGTATGCTTATCAGAAAACTATTTTATTTCAGGGTAATAACAAACCTGCGCACTATAAATCCTCCCTTTGTTCCAATTTTTCAGGAGAAATTTTGGAACACACTTTTAGGTATTTAACTTCTTGTGGGGTTAGGTTTTGATGATTGATGCTGGATATTTGTACAAACTGACCATATATTTTTACTTGCCTTTGCATAAACTGTTGTCCTAGAGAGCATAAACACTGAAAACAACATAACAGGCAGACTATAGTTATAACTATTTTAATTATACTTAGCATAAAAGGTTTAAGCTATTCTGTAAGGGAAGAGAACTAGTTAGTAAGCCAGCTAAGAGATGCATCTTTGGGGATTTTAGCTACATCTTTGGCTTTTTGGATATGTATAGCTGTATTATTGAGGTGGGTTTGTATTATGGTAAAAGAACTGTTAACTCATACACAATATTCTGGTCTGATAATTGCACAAGCTCTCCCTTGAACAGCGAGGAGAAAATCAAGGGCTATACGGTTTTGAATTATTATTTGTCGGAGTTCTTCTTGGGTGTTAGGCAAGGCAGCAACGGCCTTCGAGAGTTTCTTGTGACCTTCACTGAATTTATGAGCCATGATTTTTATCACAGCTTGGAGGCGTAGTGTAAATTTTTTAAGACAAGCAGTGCCTATTCCCAGGAGTATACCTACTAAAGAACACCCGACTAATACTTTTTGGTATGTGGAGTTTTTTTATATTTGTCTACTATATCACGGCTTTTTTGTAAATTTCTCTTGTTTCGCCACCTGCTCCGTGGAAGGTGCATGGCGAAGGACGTAGAGGGTTTTAGCATTGCCGGATAGCAGATACCTTTTCCTTTGGCAGGGATTTTATGGTAGGCGTGGGGGGCACAGACCCAGTATTGTCCTTTTAAAGCAGCGAGGTTTGAATACTTAGGAGGTATTCGGCCCCCGTTTTCTAATCTTAGTACTCCACGTTCACCCTTTGATTTAAAGGAAGGATTTACAGTTTCATTGAAGAAGTATTGTCTCCGGGAGGTATCAGTGTACAAACAATACCACAAGGTATTATTTAAAGAGGAGATGGGGGTGCAGATAGGATTAGTGCCTTTTTGGTTAAGTTTTTGCCGCTGTAGAAAGCTGTAGAAATCATTGTAAGAGCTGCAATAGGTAGGAGTTGCTGTGTTATTATTACGCCAGTCTCCTCCACTTGAACTAGTAAAATAGTGGTGACATATGCTGGTGCCTAAATTGATGCAGTTTGATACTGAACAGTTTACATAGAAACACTAATTTTCAACAACAGGCTTTACTAAAAGGAACTCCTGCTGACTTTGGTTCTAAGCTTGGTTATTAGAGGGGTTTAAAAGTGACTCAGTGGGGCCCAAGGGGATGGGAGTCATGGGAATTCCTCCTTGGGTGTGGAGAAGAAAATGACTGTACACCCAACAGTTACTTTGGTTTTCTGCTTTAGCGACTTTTTTAATGTATTGAAGGTACATATTGTTATCAGAGATATGGGCAACAGTAGGTTTAAGAGTAGTTTTAGCCTGAGGAGACTCTGCAAATTGTCTGAAAACTGGGTGGCTAGGCTTTACACAATATTTTGTTCTATAAGTAAATACCTGAACTTCTGCTGAACTACAGCAACGTGAGGGAGGATACTAACGGGCAATGTTGACCTTCCTGACTATTTTAGAGTTTGACTGAATTGCTTATCCAGACAGGAAAACCTCGGGCACCAGGATTAGCACATCTGCAGCAACTGGTAGCTATAGCCAATCCCTGTGAAAGACTTATTTCTCCAGCAAAGGGAAAGATTAGAAATAACATAGTTATAAAAGCTATATTAAAACAAAATCAGCACAAACAGTATGCACAACCTTGCAGCTTCAATAACTGATCTTCTGGGACACTATCCAGACAGGAAAACCTCGGGCACCAGGATTAGCACATCTGCAGCAACTGGTAGCTATAGCCAATCCCTGTGAAAGACTTATTTCTCCAGCAAAGGGAAAGATTAGAAATAACATAGTTATAAAAGCTATATTAAAACAAAATCAGCACAAACAGTATGCACAACCTTGCAGCTTCAATAACTGATCTTCTGGGACACGTTACAGTTTTAAAGTGCTCGGTTTCAGCTGATTTAAAAGTGTCTAGAGGATGCAGTACTTGGAGTTCGGTGCTCTCTGGGCTGGGCAGGACCCCAAAAGGGTGACAGTTTATTAGTGGACTTTGGTTAGTTTGAGTTTTATATTATCTAATGGGCTGCAGGTCCAGGAGGTGTTTGTTTTTATTTTTTCGTCTGCTTCTGGCTCACCCTTGTTGCGGTCAGGTGGGTGTGCGGTGCTCCCGCGAAGTCTGCAGTCGTCTTTTTCTGGCTTCCCCTTTTCCAGGTCAGGGAAGCTCGCGTTGGAGCCGATCCTGAGCTCTGGTGAGACTTCTGTCTTTTTTGTACGAGTATAATGAATCCAGTTGTCCTTTTTTGTTATCTTTACGGCGGTGTGGGAGGTGAGGAGGACTTGATATGGTCCTTGCCACTTAGGTTCAAGGGGAGACCGTTTTTAAGTTTTTATATATATCCAGTCTCCAGGCTGGATGCGATGTGCTGGGACATCGGCAGGGGGGGGTTGGCTTAAAGCAGCATACCTATGGAGAGATTTTAACTGAGACTGTAGAGATAAAATATAAGAGGTGAGTTCTTCATCGCCTAAAAGAGAAGAAGTGTGAGCCGGTAGTAAGGGGAAATGTTGGGGAACAGGGTGTCCAAACAGCAGCTCGTAAGGGCTGAGCTTTAGTTTTTTTCTGGGGGTTGATCTGATGGACATAAGAGCCAGTGGGAGAGTCTTAGTCTATTTTAACCTGCTCTCAGCACATAGCTTTCTAATTTTTTGTTTCAGGGTTTGATTCATTCTCTTTATTTGTCCTGAGCTTTCTGGGTGCCAAGGGGTATGGAATTTTCATTTTATTTTTAGGCAGCTGGTCAGTGTTTTGTTTATGTCAGCAGTAAAATGTGATCCTCGATTGCTTTTAATGATACGTGGAGGACCAAACCTGGGTATAATTTTTAAGGAGTATTTTTACTACTTGTTGTGCTGTAGTTCTTCTGGTGGGGAAGGCTTCTACCCACCCCGTGAGTTGGTCAACAGTTACTAGGAGGTTTTTGTACCCATTGTCTTTAGGCATATCAGCAAAATCTATTTGTAGTCTTTTAAAGGGAGTATAAGCCCAGGGGCTGGCTCTAGGGGGTCCTGATTTTTCTCCTTTGATATTAAACTTTTGCATATACTGTAGTGTTTTAAAAGCCTTTTTGCTTCCTGGTAGACTCCGGGTGCATAGAACAGCCTATTAGTGATAGTGGTACTTTTTTTTTTTTTTTGCGCAACTTAAAAGCTTGCTTTGGTGAAGTTGTTGTAGATAAGGTTTAAGGGCTGCTTTAAGTAGCGCTATTTTTCCGTCCGGCAATCGCTATATTCTATCCTTTTTAACTACTTTATTTCACAAAAGATCAGGTACAGAAATTAAAAAAAAACAAACCCTCAATCTCACTAAAGAGAAACCATTCTAACACATTCAGAACTTCACACCGTGACAAACACTTTCGCAGTAATACACATTATGCCTAACATTTCATATAGCTCTCGAGAAATGAGCAGTTCTACTCTTCCCTGTCTCATAGAACACATGCAAAAACTTTCGGCATTTCACTCTGAGAAAAAACAAAAGCAGCCTGGTGAGGGACCAGGGCACGGCACAAGCTGGAAGCCACAGTCCGCTACCGCGCCGAACTGCTCAGGCAGTGGTTCAGCTTCAAGTACTTTAAACGGAGTTAGTACTGCATAACCCGTTTTTGTTTTTTGTTTTTTAACTCCGTTGGCTATTTTTGAAGAGCCATATAAAAAAAATCAAGTCAGGGTTGTCTAAGGGTAAGTCACTAAGATCTACCCTGGGTTTGTCTGAAAATGCTGCAACTTGAAGGCAATCGTGGGAGTCTGGTTCCCCGTCGCTGGGTAGAGGTAATAGAGTAGCCGGATTCAGGGTATTGCATCTCTCTATGACCAGGTTTGTAGCCATTAAAAGTGTGGTTTTCTATTTGTTCATTCTCTGATAAGAAAAATGTTGAGTATTTTTCTGGAGGAGGAGGAGGGCTACTGCGTGTGGAACCTTCAGGATAAGGGGGTATCTGAGGACTAATTCCTGGGCTTTTTTGACTATTGTTGCAGCTGCTGCCACTGCGTGAAGGCAGCCTACTCCCCCCTTTTTCACTGGATCTAATTGTGCAAAGAAGTAAGCTGCGGGCAGCTTTATGATCCCTTCCATTAAAAGTTTTAGTAGCAATGGCTAAGATTTCTGCCATGGATTTACTCTCGACACCCTCAGTGTCATGTTGGAGCTTCTTTCTAATATCTTTGCTAGCCTGACAAGTTTTAACACAGGCAAAATGGCAGGTGTCTTGGGGTCTATGTTTCTATACTGGTGTATAGCTTTACAGAGTCTTTCAAAGTAGTCTCAAGGGTGTTCTTCTGGACCCTGAACAGTAGCTGTCACTTTGGACCAGTTTGTAGTTTTATCTCCTGCCTCTTCTTTTTTTTTTTAGTCTCTTTTAGCATACGTATTGCATTCTGTCCCTCTTCTTTGTTGTAATTTTAATTTGGATCTTGCCTAGGTACACCATTAGGCATGTAGTGGTTTTGATGCTGCTGATCGGCTAGAAATTGGTCAGCGTGGCGTAGTACTTGGGTCTTCTCGTCTGAGGTTAAGAGGCTTTTGAGAAACTGCATGACATCTGACCAGGAGGGGTTATGAGTCATGAAAATGGTTTTGAAGCACCTTAGAACTACTTTGGGATCATCTCTGAGCCTGGGGGTGTTTTCTTGCCAGTTTAAAAAGTCGGTGGTGGAGAACGGAGCATGTGTCCAGTGACTGATAACTTCTACACCCTTGCCAGGCACAGGGTATTGTCTTAGGGGAACCAGAAGGCTAGGGGCAGGTACTTGTTGTCGGGTACGATTAGCTATGGGAGTCGGATCAGTGTTCGGGGAAGTTGAGTCTGGAGAGGGATGCCTTGATCTATCTACAGGCTCAGGACTTGAGTGGTTGCCGGGAGGCAGTCGGGGTGATGCCTTCCAACGATTTCCCGAGTCCCCTGCCGGCACGGGAATGAACGGATCAGGTGGGATAGGGGGTCTGGACATGGGTTTATAATCATCATCTGAATATGAAGGTGGTACAGAAGGTTTTGGACATTGAAGGGGAGCTAACAAATTCGGGAAGGGTACAGGGGTCGGGGTGACTAAAGGTTTACTAGCAACATTGTCTTATAAATACCACTAATTTATTAGGTCGAGGCAGAGGTCCTCCAAGATCTTTCGTAAGGCAGCCAGGCAATTTGGGTCAAATGATCCATTTTCTGGCCATTGTCTTCCCAAATCTAACTGAGACGTGTAAGATGTCTAATTAATTAAACAGAGTTCTGCCATACGAGACTTGGACAGTTCTGCCCGTCCCTCCAAACGTTTCCAATTCCTGATTATATAATCAAGGGATGAGTCTGTTATGACAGCATTTCTACTTTATATCCGTGTCTTTCGCCTTTCGGCTAGGCTGCCAGCTCTAACAGCGTTTAAAGTAGCAGACGGATACCCTCAAAGACTGCTTCCAGAGACCTCTAGAGGTTAAACCAGAAAACCAGAAACCAGGTAGAAACCAAAAACATACCTGACCTGAGGTACTCGCCGGTACCGTTCCTTTACCTGATTTGAGGATCCCGCCTTATTGGTCCTGAGGGGACCATCCACCTCCCGAGACTGACCCAAATAGGTGAACTCACTTGGTGCGCGCTGGGGTGTCAGGGGGTGGAGATCTCCAAAGGCTCCAAGCTAGATGGGTCCCATCTGGGGTGCCAAATTGTGGTGGGACAAAACTCCCTAGAGTTCGTTATCTAGCTGCAACAGGGACCAGACAATGCGGGTAAAGAATTGACAGCCGTTTATTTGCTCGAGCAAAGACCATAAAGCCAGCAAAAGGCAAAATGGCCCCCCCTAAAGGGTGGGGCGATCTTTTATACTTTTTACAATAAGGCAAGACTACAGGGTTAACAAAAGCAATACTTGGGCGGTGCTTTACAAATCTTCATAACAGCATATTTCTATTAAGCTGAACTAGTACTTTTTTAAAAGCTAAAAGTTAGGTAACAGTAACATTATGATAGGTTAGCAAAAACTTGCACAGTAGTAGATACTTCTTAAGGACATGATCACTGTACTTAGAACAATGGCTTCTTTGTCCTATCTTGCTTCTTGCTGTAGCTGATTTTTCAGCACACAGACACAGATTCACTTGCTGCATTTTACTCAGAAAATGTTTAACACAATTAAAATGATTACTTAACATAAGCAAAGGCTTAGCTATCATTCTGCCTTGTGGTCAGCGGCATTGCTAGGCCACAGGTCATGCCTTGTATTCAGCTGCAAAGCTAATACTTCTTAATAATCCAAATTATTGTTAACTTAACAGTATGCCATCAGAAAATTATTTTATTTCAGGGTAATAACAAACATGCTCACCACACAGCACTGGTCTCATGTATTCAGCATCCCACATTTCAAAGTGGTGGCAGGGGTGCTTTAATGAAAGCTTGTCAAATGAACTTTAGTTAAATGCCCCTGCCACCATTTTGAAAAGCAGGATGCTGAATACACAAAACGCTGCAGGCATTTTAATTACAGTGCCTCCTGAGAGCCGCTCTAATTAAAAAGCCCCCTTCCTCCCCCAAACTCCAGAGCATGTGTATAAGCACCCACTGATTCAACTGCAACATAGAAGATATTCTCATTGAGACCACTGGAAATCTGGCCTGAGTACAGGCAACAGGATTGAATCAGGCGGCTATTACTAACTTGATTGCTATTAATCTAAATGGCAGGGCTTAAAATGCAACAACTGCGTGGAGAAACTGGTGTGGAAGAGGTAGCCAGAGCAGATGTTAATGAGCAAGAGGTGTCAGAAGAGTCTTTGAGTGACTGTAGAACTCAAGGCACCCAGACAAACAATGAAAACACTCCTTTAAAAGCAGGTAATTGCAAGAAAAGCTACACTGTCAATTGGCCACAATTCTCTCTGGTAGTCATAATTTAGTGATTAGATGGCTATTTGATTTTATTTCTTACTAGCTAATTGCCCACCAAGAATGATGTGGGGGAGGGGAGGGGACGGGCCTGGGATGGAGTGTCGCCACCTAACGTCCCATGCTGCCGCTGCTCTGCCTCTTGCAGGGACCGGGGTGGGGGAGTCGAGGCCAATGCTGCTGGCCCCAGCTCCCCCACCCTCTGTCCAGTCCTCGCGCAGCTTTGGAATCATTGTTGCCCTCTCCCACATTTGGAGCACTCTGATTGGCTGTTTCCATCAACCAATCAGAGTGCAAATAAAGTGTTATGGGCAGACAGACAGACAGACTTAGGCTTTTGTAATATTAGATTTAGTAGGGGATATTTTACCAATTGAACTCTTAATATTGAGTTTTGCTCTTACTCATCCAAATGCAATTCTTATTTACCCTGCTGTTAAAGAAATGAGACTATAGTCTGACAAGTTTGTTCCTGCCTCCAGTAAGATCAGTAAGTTTGTCATAACATAGGACAAAATTAGAACCTTATATACATTTTGGTCTTTTTATTGTGTATTAAATTCTGTCCCTATATTTTTACAGCGTCCCTGAGTGCCTAAGAGGCGGTACTGACACCACCTCTTTCTCTCTTTCTCAGTGGTTGAAGTACCATTACAGTCAGAATCTGTAGAACAAAGGCCTAAAGAGGGGATCAGAGATGGTGACGTTGAATATAGAAAAAAAGACAACATTACAAATGATTACAGCAGTGGAGACAGCTTGATAGAAGTGAAAACAGGTAAAGGAAAGTCATGGAAAAGCTACACTAACAAAACTCCAGTGTACTGACATAATATGAATGCAATGTTATTTTAGTTTGTCTACACATATGGTTGACAATCCTAACATCCAACTAGGATTAATTAAAAGCACAGTTATACTATAATCTGTCATAACTAAATAGACCACAAGAGCTTTGATGTCAGTATTCTACTAGCATCATATGATATAACTTTTTTGGAAACCCAGATGCTACCTCAACTTTACTTCAAACTTATCCAATATAAACAATAAATAAAACATTCTAATATTCATATCCTATGATTAGTAGGCTCCTGTTTCCAAACAACAACAATTTTTCTTAATTTCAAAAAGGAAGCCAAAAAACACATTTTTTCCTTTGAAATTGTGCAAATAGCTGTCAGTCTCTCTCTTTAGATGAGCAGCAAACTATCATACATACTGTTCTTATATATACACATTGAATTTTCTTTTATTACATAAAAACATGAAGACATTCAGCCTGAAAAGAAAACTGTGATCTCTGTATCTGAAACAAATGAACAAAATGAGCAGCAATTAAGTGGTGATCATAAACCAGTGGTTGATCTATCCATGCAAAAGGTAGAAGAAACAAAAGATTGCTCAAGGTAATTTTAATGTTATTTATTGCTTAAATTTGCAGTTCAGTAAAATCAACTCATGTTTTGTCATGATTTCAGTGAAGGCAAAAATTTCACTCTCAAAAATGCATCTTAAGTAATACAGAAAAAATGTTATATGAAATAAACCTGATGCCAATAAAAAGTGGTTTCGAAACTCCATACTGCTTTCTGATGGCCATAGTACAAAGTGACTGTCTTACTATCAATTCAGACACCGCACTGTTAAAATGAGGAGAAAAATAAATGATTCACATGATAAACAATGGGACCTAACTCATTTATTTTGTAAGTTTTGGTCAAATCCACTCCAGAACAATATAGATTTTTACCATTTGAGTCTTGTTCAGAGGCCAACAGGAAATGAGCCAGTTTGTTCACTCCAACTCCCAGCAGAAGCACGAGCACATCACAAAACCTGCTATCACAATTAGTACTAATTGGTCATTTCATTGAGTATTTCAGCATACAGGCCATACTATTGCATGGCTGTGAGGAATGAACTATCCCTCACTTCAGTAGCAATGCATCCTTTTTTGTGAAAGATAATGTGAGGACGTTTGTGTTTCTGCTAGCCCTAAAATATTTGTTTTGTAGGGACTTCTCCCTCCTGCTTTTTAAAGCTGAAGAATAGATGTCCACTGATTTCATCAGGCAGTGTATCAGATTAAATATGTAGAAAACTTCAGTTCCAAGGTTTTGGAGCAAATAGTGTACATAGTAAAATCATTTGCATTTCCAAAGGAATTAATTTAATGTTATTGTGAACCTATAATTTGCCAAGAATTCAATCTGAAGACCTCCCAAAAAGACACAAGATTTATTTTTGAAAAACAGTGAAATAGGTTAGATGTGTAAAATGCCATACTACGTTATGTATATAACAGTTTTCACTAGCTACTAAAGTATGGTTTAGGTCATTATTTTTGTCTTTCCAGTTCTCTTATGGAATGTGTAGATCTCCTAGGATTTATTCCAGTTATGTTTGGTTCGGAGAGACAGCTACATGCTGACAATTATGCATGCTTTATACTGCCTTATTAATTCAGCTGAAGAGTAATCCATGTCAGAGCTGTTTGTTGCTTAGAAAAAACCAATTTTTTCAGTGTAGTATTACAAATCTAAATGCAACTTTTTTAATTTTTTTTTTTTTTTTTAGAAGTCTGAGTCTATCAGCTTTATTGGTTTAGGAGCGTTTTCCCATCAGGAATATCCTGCTGTTTTAAGCAGCAGTCTTGAAAATGTTTACATATTTAACTCGTTGCAGCATTGAACTCAACTGGACTATTTTAATAGTGTGATAAGTTAAGCTTATCAATAAGTCTTTGCAAGACTAGAGCATAACAATTCCACCTGTATTTTTATTGAGTTAAAAAGAAAAATGGAAAATATGCCTGAAAAACAGTTTTGCAATATGTAATTTTTGTTGCTGTAATACAGCCATGTAAAACCAGGTAGAGGGCTTTTTAAACTAAGTAGGTACATGAGATAAGTTACTAAGCTTTCTTTCAATCCTTTAGGGATGTATATTTCAGTACAAACTCATCTCACCAAATAATTAAATATTTTCTGCAAGTTCATAGATTCATAGAGTTGGAAGGGACTTGGCAAGCAAGAAGAGAGTCACAAACCCTGAGGTCATGTGATCCCAGCCAGGTGCCTGTCAAGTCTCCTCTTGAAGACCCCCAAGGATGGGGTGAGCACCACCTCCCTTGGGAGCCCATTCCAGATTCTGGCAACCATGACATTAGGAGAAAGTTCTTCACTGTCCAGCCTAAACCTTCTCTTATGGCCATTGTTCCTTGTCACTTCAGGGGGTGCCCTGGTGAACAGATTGTCTCTTACTTCATGTTGCTCTCCCCTTATGAATTTGTACGCTGCCTTCTCTTGGAGAGGCTGAAGAGGTTAAGGTCCCTTAGCCTTTCCTCGTAGGGCCTTCCCTGAAGGCCTCTAATCGGGCGAGTGGCCCTTCTTTGGACCCTCTCCAGGTTGTCCGCATCCCACTTAAACTGCGGCATCCAGAACTGGACACAGTACTCCAGCTGCAGTCTGACCAGTGCTGCATAGAGGGGGAGAATCACTTCCCTGGACCTGTTTGTGAAGCACCTACTGATGCACGACAAGGTGCGATTGGCTCTGCCAGCTGCTTCATCACATTGGCGACTCATGTTTATCCTGGAGTCAGTGACTCCAAGATCTTGTTCTGCCTCAGTGGAGCTGAGAAGGTCGCCCCCCCAGCCTGTAGGTATGATGGCAGTTCTTCCTCCCTAGATGCAGCACCTTGTACTTGTCCTTATTGAATTGCATCCTGTTGCTCTCTGCCCACTTCCCCAGCCTGTCTAGGTCAGCCTGGATCTGGTTCCTCTCCAGGGCATTAGCTGCACCCCATAATTGTCATCCACATATTTGGACAGGGTGCTTCCTACCCCCTCACTATTGCTCTGACAACAGTCTTAGTGAGAAAGTTACACATTCAAACATTTTTATTTAAATAAATACCCAAAGCATGCATAGAGTAATACAAAAAAGTCAGGTTCTTGATTAAATTTGTAACTTAAAGGCCTTGATCCTCCATTAGCAGTATGCCTGTCCTGTCAGGCAGTGATCCAACTTCCAAGGCATAAATAAGAAAAGAGGAAGGGAAGAGCATAAAAGGTTTTAACATCAAAATCATGTCGTTGTTTAGCTATTAAATTCTTGTTTGTTCTCCTTTTTAACAGCCTATAGTAGGATGGGAAATACAGCTATACTTAAAACAGGTGGAAATAGAAAGCCATCCTGAAAGAACCGCTTTATAATTGTTTTAATTATGCTCCTAAAAGCTGTAGATACGTCTCCAGAAGGGTGAAGACATTAATGAATTGTCTTAATGAGAAACCAGATAGTTGAACTATCCAAAACTCAAACAGTTTTTAAAAAGTTTTCAGAACACATGTTGTGATTTAAGGATGTTTTTCTTTAGCTGTTCACTCTTCCCTTTAATATTTTAGAATGACAAAAAAGGCTTTGAGAGACATCTGCAAACAGCAAAAATTGTACTTGACCCCGTCCTTGAATGATACACTATATTTACATTATAAAGGTAAGGCACATGAAAATGATTTGTCAAATTAAATAGAAGTATGGCAGAGAATTTATGCTCATTAAGGGGAAGGTACTTTAAAACGGTTGTATTAGAAGTATAATTTAGTTTAATGGATAAATAATTAAGAGTTGAGCTAAATTAGTATCAAAGTACAGGAATACATCAGTGTCAACTCTGAGGGCAGATGCACTGAAGTGCAGCACTTGCACAATCTGGAAAACATAGCACATCAGATTATACATCAGCCTCTCACTTAAGAGATCCTGGTTTAAAATATTGGTTCCAACAAGATTAGAAAAAACACACTGCAGGAAAAAACCAAGGTAATTTTTTGCTAAAGAGGCAATTTTCCAGTTTGTAAACAGGTTGCTTAGCCTGCTGGCTGATTTGCTTCCTGAGGAGGTCCTCAGCCAGTCCTCCCAAGTGAAGCAGTCTTTTAAACAAATAAAGAAACAAAACTAAATCCTTCTGCCCTGTCCCAAGCACAAGGGGAGCCCCTTTTGCTCTGGCCCCTCCTAACAGTACACTGTTCCACTCAAAGTTTGTTTACTCTTTAGGGAGCTCTTCAGG